TGTCTGTGACAAAGAGGCTTTGTTCCCACTGGTCATCTCCAGTAGATTGTCAGGAGGGACAGGAACACTCAGACACTGTTGGTGGGACTGCAGACTGGTACAACCTCTATGGAAAGCAGCATGGAGATTCCTTGAAGAACTAAAAGTAGAACTACCATTTATTTGATCCAGCAATCCTGCTACCGGGTATTTATCCAAAAGAAAAAAAGACATTTTATAAAAAAGACATCTGCACTCAAATGTTTATAGCAGCACAATTCACAATCGCAAAGATGTAGAAAGAACCCACGTGCCTATGCAGACATGAGTGGGTTCATGAAATGTGCTATATGTATACCACGGAGTACTACTCAGCCATAAAAATAAGTTACCTTTTGTAACAACCTGGATGTAACTGGAGACCATTTTTATGAGTGAAATATCACAAGAATGGAAGAACAAAGACCACATGTACTCATTATTAAATTGGAACTAAGTGATCAATACTTCTAGGCACGTCTGGAAATAACACCCATCAAAAATCAGGTGGGAAGGGGGAGGAGCAGAGGGGTAAACTTAAACCTGACGCATACTGTGCCCACTGTCTGGGTGGCAGCCACACTTAGAGCTCTGACTCAAATGATACCAAAGCAATTTAAGTAACCAAAATGTTTATAACCTCATAATATTCTGAAATTAAAAAAAAATCTTTATTATAAGATATAGTGCAATAGTATTAGGTTTTCCTAAAGCTCTGAAACATGAATTCCAAGGGAAAGCACAACCTTTTATCTTCAGATTATTTCAAAACAATGTCAGAGAAATGATACATTTATAACAATATGCAAATGACTATTTCAGAAGAAATAAAAATTTTCAGGTCAAGGGTAAGAAATATTCAGAGAGAATAAGAGTGAACAGAAAATAAACCACAACAGCATTATATGAATTTAAAGATGTTTCAGTTAGAATATTGATTTTTTTTTTCCTTAACAGAAGGAACAAAAATATAATTGATGTAAGATTTGAGAATTACAGAAAAAAAGTTAATGTCACAATAGAAAGCTTTGCAAAAAGCAGTTGTGAGATGAAGAAAGCTTAGCTGATCTCCAAAGCTAAGTGAGTGTTAACTTCTTTAACTCCCTACCTTACTTTTTAAATGTTTCAGTCGTATGTTTAGGAACTCTCCAATGATCTGAGGTTTTATGGATGTAATTCAGTTTCGATACTGTTTACTATTCCTTCTAGAGTTTTCCAATAATTCTAATAGTCATTCATATTGTTTCTTCCACATCTGAGACGATTGACTATTCATTATCCGGTTTTCCAGCATGAAAATATACTGTGTTTCTTTGCTAAAGTAGCTGAGTTGAACCTATACCATTTGTAAATAAGGAACCTCTGAAGAATGTGTTACAACTGGCAGAGTATTCCAGGTTGGTTTTTTTTTTTTCCTAGAATGAAACAAGGGCAGTAAAAAAATCTATGAGTTCAATAACAGAATTTCCCTTTGGCACAAAACATGTTACAAATTGTAATTTCCACCCTTTGTCTAAGGGTTAGGGAGGAAAGATTAGGATAAGAAATAGATCAGTAGGTTCCTCGCTTCCCTGAGATGGAGGCAGGAGAAAATGGATTGTACATGTCCGTACATGCTGAAACGCAGAATGCTTCCATTGTATCAGGTCTGTTGTTGGAGCGCAAATGTGGTACAGTAGCTAACAGTAGCTCGTAGTACTTGTCTTATAAGAAAACACTGACTCTCTATCTTCTGAAGATTCTGCACTGTTTTATATCATTAACCTCTCTCCAGGTGTGGTACGAGCAATCCAGTGATGTTCTCATTTATTAAGGATTGAAGCAGTAAAATTCTCATAGAAATGTCTATTGCATAAACTTTTACTTTAATTACTCATCTAAATTTAGGATCCTTTCAAGGTAGTAGATAACGTTTACAAAACAGCAAAGAACAGATTATGGCTTTAAGTCTAATTTAATGAAACTGCTTCTTGCAATTTTTAAACCAGATAAGGCCTAGTTGATAGTCCATAAAAATCTGAGTTGTACAAGGACTATCAACGACTTTCTAAAATTCATTAAGATGTAATTTATTTTGATAATTTTGGGGTATCAGAGGGGACTTAAAAACCACCCTCCTTCATTATAAAAGTAACGTCAAATCTAAAAGAGCAGAAGCCTTGATAAAGTTAGCATTAGCCTCTGGAGTTTATTTTTAATTCTTTTTTTCTTTCCCCTGTGGAATGGCATTGAAAATTAGGCTCAAAACCTGTTTGACCACTGACTGAAGCACTGGAGTAAAAACAAATTTGTCTTCTAAAACTGAAAAATGCTGACAAAGCCTTAATAGAGGGCATGAAAAAATGCCTCCTCTCAATATACAAACAGCTCAATCCAAAGACTACAGGCACGCTACTAGTCAAAATAGGTTCAATATTCTAACCCTGAGCTCTAAGAGAAGAAGATTTTATAGAGCCCTGTTAACAAAGGATTGATAGCATATTTCAATCCCTTTTTGTACCCTTTTGTACATTTTATGTTTTATTACTTAAAACTGTATAAGCCAATCCATGTTCAAAAAGAACTCTGGTATCATGAAGGACACTCAGGAGAGAGGTTGCCAGCTGTTCACCCAAACCCAGTCCACGTTGCGTCCCTAGAAGTAGCTCTGTGCCCAGCCTCTCCTGCAACTGGATATGGTCGTGTGACTAACTTCTCACCGTGGGGTGTGAGAAGTGATACACGTGGCTCCAGGCCGGCCCCAGATAATGCTCGCCAGATATAGATGCTCTTCAACTTACGATGGGGATATGTCCTGATAAATCTATTTTAAGTTGAAAATATTGTAAGTCGAAAATGCATCTACTATATCTCACCTGCTGGACATCAAGTGCAATCAATTTCCATGACAGACCTGGCAGTCTCCAACCTGACCTATCATTTGGCTCCCTTTCCTGTTCAATGTCTTGGTTACTTATGTTCCCTTGTTTTTCTTCTACTTTTCTGGCAGCTTTTCCCTACAGTCTCTTCTGCTGGCATCTCGTCTGCCTATCGTCTATAATGCTGATGACTCCTATATTTGTATCTGCAGCCAGGACCATCCTCCCTGAACTCTGGGTCCAGAAATCCAACTGCCTCTCTCATATCCTCATTTAGAGGTCCGATGGGCAGCTTAACCTTAACTTGTCCAAGACTGATCTCAGGATCACATTCCCAAAACTTTCTCCATCTCCCTCATCTCAGTAAACGGTCAACAGCAATCTCCTAGTTGCTCAGATCAAAATTCTTAAAATTGTCTTTGACTTCTGTATTCTTTCATACCTCGCATCAAACTTGTCAAGAAATCTTCTCTGCGCTATCTTCAAAACATATCCAGAATATGTCCACATCTTACCCCTCTCTGAGGACCACTGCAGTGCACAGCTCCACAAGGAACCATTCATATTGCAGGTGACCGTGTCCCTGAAGGCAGTGCCATGGACAACTGTCAGAGCCTCAAGTGCTGGCTCTGGGACCACCTCAGTCACAGCCATCATCATCTCAAACCTACATTACTGCAATGTAATCTAGCTGGTTTTCCT